CGATAATTATTTGTGATACCTGATTTTGCGTGGAAAGAACAAGAAAACTAAAAAAAAACCCGAATACAAAGTTCTTGCCCACTTTTTAAATGGTCGGAACGAATCAGAAAATTTTAATGAGGCAAAAGAAACGTTACGATATTGAAAAATTTATACAAAGAAACAACATTTTTATGTTTCAAAAAAGCATTGGGATCTACTTATCAATCTCCTCCCCCTTTTTTTAAAAAAAGGGAGGAGATTGTCAAGTAGATTACATGCAGCGAATATTTCGACCAATCAGAATGCAAAATTCGAATTTACATACAGGGATCTAGTGTGAATTTTCTGTTTTTATTTACAGGGGTGGAGATTTTTTAGTAGATACAATAGCGGGGGGGGGGTAGATTGTTACATAGATCCAAACAATGGAGTGTTGCAATTTAATTTTTTCCAGTGAAAACAAGAGAAGACGGCTGATGTGCAAATTCTAAAAAAAGATTATAAGCAAAAGTAACTTAAAAAAAATGAAAACCAGAAAAATTTTCGTAATTGAAAACACTTGTTTGGCTAATTTTTCAACTTGTTCTTATCGTTTTTTCGTTTTTTCTATAAGGCTCAGTGGTTAACTGCAAATGACATACGCATGGCGAACTTATTCGCGGTCAAGGATTATCCAAGTTGAGTGAGGACAAGCTAATTAGCTCCCTTAAATGTCTACTACACGAACTATCACTTTTGGTTCTTGTTATCTGATGTTGTTCGAGGTCAGGATTGAAAAAAATTATAGGTTTATTAATGTATACTCCTAAGCTGGGTTGACCTCCATAAACCGAAAATGCTTATCTTAAAATTCCATACACCGAGAATGCTTATCATACGATTCCATACTTCAAATGTAAAGAAAAATGCAAATCGTACAATATTTGAAATAATTAAAACAGTCTGGTGATTAAAAAACTGAAATTGGCCCAAGACTTTTCCTATTTTTTTTCACTCGCAAATAGAATTTCGTACTCAAAGAAACATTTTCAGAAAGAAATTTTTGCATGCAAATTTTAATTTTTTTTTCTACATCGATTTGTGGAAATAGTTTTTCGGTCAAAGATTTTTTTGAATCCACAGTTGTTCTCATGCAACAAAAACTGCAACAAATTTGTTCTTTTTGATTTTTAAACGAAGGCAAGACTGCTCGTATCAGCGAGAAGCATTGAATTTGCCGACTTTATTTTAAGTTCATGAAGCAGTGCTCGCTTGAAAACAAATGTTCGCTTTTAAAGTCATCCCCGCACGCCATATAAAGTACGAAGTGACAGAATTCGTTCCTAGTAACGTAGAATTTATTTGAAAAAACTTGTTTCAATCAATTTGGAACAATTTCTATGAGTGATTAAATCTCTGCTTACGCGTTAATAGCGCGAAATAAAATTGCGCAGTAATTCCCGCATTGGGATCTACTTATCAATCTCCTCCCCCTTTTTTTAAAATGCGTTGAAAATTTTTGCCAAACTTAATAAGCTTGATGTTTTCACCATATGATTTGTGAAGAGAACTCTTA